TATGGTTTCAGGGGTCACTTTGACAAAGACACCACTGAAAATCTTCTTTAGACGAAGTCTTGCAATGGTCTTCTGCACCAGAAAACTCACCCCATTAATCCTTTGGATTCGTACTGCAAAGGCCAGGGAATGTTCATCTGGCACTTCCAAGCCATGAGGTTTCACTTCCAGTCGTCTGATGCGCACCCTGTCACGTTGCTGTCGCTGGGAATCAAGTAGGAACGATTCCAGTCGCTTAAACCTAAGACCTTTTCCTTTCTTCTGCTTTTTCCTTTCCAAAAGTGCCTGCTTTGCCTGGGTGGCTTTGAGAGCCTGATAAGCCTTCCTCTTTTTCAAGAGATTTTCTGGAACCAATGGAATCTTTTTTCTTAGCTCTTCCTCCGCCATCTTGCCAACGCTGCAGCTACTGCTCTCTTCAACACTTTTAAAAAAGTCTTGTGCAGCACATCTGCATAATGCAATACGCCGTTTGATTTCTTGACTGCTGCTTCCAAGAGTGTTGATAGCTGATCCAAGAAAACTGAAGTCTTTGACAACTTCAATCTTTTCTCCATTGATAAGAATGTTTTTTATTGGTCCAGTGGTGAGGAGTTTTGTTTTCTTTACACTGAGATGCAATCCATACCAAATTTCTTATGTAGGTCTTTCATAAAAGTGAAGTGCTATTACTGAGAACTTTTGAAAAGTGGGGATACCTATATTAAGTATGATTATTTTAGAATTGTAACTGAATGTCATTTTTAAAAGTCTAGGTTTTGCTGATAGTTTTGCTCATAGTGTAGTGGTTACAAATTGGGCTGTGAACCGCAAGGTGAGCAGTTAAAAACTACCAGCTGCTCCGCAGGAAAAAGATGAGGCGTCCTGCTCCCATAAAGATTAACAGCCTTGGAAACCCTGTGCAGCGTCGCTATGAGTCGGAACCGACTCCACAGCACATAACAACAACAACAACAATTAGCTTAATAGCTTAATCAAGTTACATAATTAATTATACTACAGAATTTAAAAATAATAATAAAGAAATGGAGAGAGGGAGCAGCTTTACCTTACTACATTTTGCTGTACACATTCAACCTTCATCAAAATTTGGATACCAGCCTGGGATCGAATGTATGCTTTCAACCTGAAATAAAAATATCATATAAACAAACTTGGTATTTTAATATACTTTAGGAGTGTCTTATGAATTCTATGTACTTTAAAAGCAGCTAATAAAACTTAAAATCCACCTAACCAAGAATAAGAAAGGGATAAAAGATATTTTGTACCCAAGATCTAAGTAAAAAATTACCTTTCTTCTATCTTTTCAAGTAAATAGCTTAACTTAAGGAACACCTACTTGAGTAAATTAATTTGACTATTTTGTTTTAAACTTTTTAATCCAATTTAGTGACAAATATCTTGCAAATACATAAAAAAAATTTATTGAAATATTGCCAAAATGTCTTACTACCAAGTATATGACTAATAACAGCAACTGGATTATCAATGATATGAAGGAAAAAAAGCTCAATTATAAGAGCAGTGGTTGATAGGGACATGGATCTGGTTCAGTTGGAGTTGATGTTGAATGGCGTTGAGTTGGTTCCAACTCATAACAAGTCTTATTGGGTTTATAAGGAGTGATTGGTGGGTTTGAACCACCAACCTGGTTAACAGTCCAGTGCTTATCCTACAGCACACCACATCTGGACTCCTCAGTTGGAGCGCTAATCTGAATTTAAAGAAGAATGAGATTCAACTAGAACTAGAACTAGGTCAGACATTTCAGAATCTACTTTACTCTAAATTTAAACACCAGGTTAGTCTGGAGCCAAACCACATATTCATAACCCAAACAGGTACCATCTGGTGAAAGAAATCAGCTGGATTCCTGCCTAGGACCGCTAATAACTCAAACTCATAATAACAGCTTCCTTTCCAAGGGTGCTGCCTGCCATGGGCTTCTGAAGGTTCTCTGTACACATCATCATTTCCTTCTAAACTTCATAACAGCTCTATCCAGTGGACATTCTCATGCTCATTTTATTGATGGAAAAAATTAAGGAGTGAAGTTAAGAAACCTTCTCCTGATAACATAGCTAAAAATGGGAAGAGCTAGCTATTTTAGCCCAGATATTTATGACTGAATCTTTCCATTATGCCATGTTAGCCACTGTTGTCCATGCTGTATTTCTAGACAGGAGGCAAAGTGTACTTTTACTAAGTTCTATAGACATGGGAAAAACAGACTTTCCTGTCTAGCAGTTACTTGGAAACTCTCAATTTTCACTTCAGGATCATTTGTTCAACTTGAAAGGCAATATAAGGGTAAAGAGTGCAGGCTCTGATGACAAATTACTTAGGTCTGAATCCTGACTTTCCCCACTTATTAGCTTTAAGACGTGACTTAACCACTTCAAAGCCTGGTTTCCCCATCTATGAAATGGGCATAATAATGAAAATCTATCTTTTGGGGGTATTGTGAGCATTAAATAAATTAATACAAGAAAGATGCTCCAAAATGAGCATTCAAGATGAGAAACCCTTGATTAAACTCCAAGGAAATGGGATAGAAAATAAATAAATGACACATCAGATTCTAATAAAACATCATGGCTTTACAAAATAAATATGCACAGTACTTGTACCGGAACGTTTTTAATAATTTCAGTTAAGTTACATTTTTGAAACATACCTTTGACGAATTACAGGATCAGACTTTTCAGGATCAATATAAGTTCTTAAGATTTCATTAATAGTTTTATTATCTGGTACTCTTTCCAGAAAAGAAAAGAGAAAGAAAGGAAAGAAAACCCACATTATTATTTATAATAGTTGACCTAAAGGTGTTAACTTAGAATTACTAAATCTTGTGGTTCTTTTTTTGTGTAAATAACTGAACACAGACCTTTTATTTTATTTCTTGGCAAAATACAACATCCTTTTAAGAAAAAATCACTTAGAAAAAGTTCAAAAAGACTTCTTGGACACACTTTAAAAAAATCTTAAGAACAACATTTTGAAAAGCTCCCTATAAATCAATTATAGAAATGCAAAGCCTCTGTTAACACACACCTGTGTTCAAACATGAACAAAGATGTGAGTTGCAGAAACCAAAAATCTTTAAAAGGTTTCAGATGATGCTAATTTCACTGAATGCTCAAATTTAGTCATTACAATTCATGCCAGATTAAAACTAAAATGACTTTCCCCTGAAAACAAAGTATTTTGTTTTCCAACTTTTCTGTTTTTACATTGTTTTTTAAATTATAAAGCTGTAAAAACAAAATTAAGACACTGTTTTGAAATAGTAATTTTTCTATTACTATTGGTGGTGGCTGTGTGCTGTTGAATCAGTTCTGACTATTAAAGTAATAACAAATCAGTTCCTAAAGAAAACAAACAAAAAAACTCAAATCAGTTCTTAATATACACTGATGACACTATACCTTTTTTCTATGTACACAGCTTGACTTTGAGGAAACAGGAGCTTCACATGCCAACAGAACTGTTGGTTTCTATGAAAGAAAATTATATTGTGAGTATCAAGGTAGATAATCAATATCTGAATGCAAACCAAATTTCTTAAATTTACATTTTGCAAATTCTAAAATTAGTCTCAGAATTTTACATCTTTTCTACAATGAGCTATTTTCGCTTTTCTAGGATTTTAGAAGCTATGTTTATGGAACAATACACTTGTAAGGATTTTTAAGAAGGGGAGAATCTGAAGTGATTCTGAGCATTAAGGACTTCATATTCCTGAATTAGAAGAAAATCTCCCATAGTTCAAAGGCTTTTGAGATTAGTTTCCTACTATTTAAGTTTATAAATAATTTTCCTCATTACTAAATACCATGAGCTGGTGTTTTTGCCTGATCAGGCTGGAAATTAGGTGAATGAAATATTGTCTGGTAGAGGTGCACCCACACTTCTGAGGCATGAGTACATATATATCCAGTAGCGAAACAATGGAAAACAAGTTGGTTGCTAAGCAGAATGCACTCTGAGATAGAGCCCTTGCTTTTAGGTCTAAACTGTGGCTTGATATAGAACCAACATTCACTGAATGTCTCATTTTAAAGAAATACCATATTGCACTTAACAATAGCAATAGTTAACAAATCAAAATTTGGTGATATCAGACACCATTATTTTTAAGTTAATGCTCAAAATATTTAATTCATTATAGACATGTACATTTTTTCACTACTCAATGGCTCCACACAAGTTTTCCTTACTTAAAACCAATTTCTAAAAATCTGCTAACAAGTTAATGGCCAACAGCATTTCTTCCAAGCAGTGGTCAGTTCTCTCCTTTAATCTATTCAGCAGCATGACTGAAAATTACAAAACAAACATTTATGTGATTTAATCAGACCTTTGGAAGAGGATACAGGCCATAAAATGAATTAAAATTCTCTCATTAAGGAAAAGTCATCACAGATCTATATATAGTACGTTTTTTGAATAAGGCAATTTCTGGAACTACACAGAAAAATATGCTTAATTATGTTTATATTGATATTGACACTTAAAAGCACATTTCTTTTCTTGTAAGAAAAATAGCCACTATCAGAGAAGCACGCTGAGGGTTAATGTGCTAGATTGCAAGGTTGGTTTGAACCACAAGATCAGTAGTAGTTCGAGTTCACCAGCTGCTACTTGGAAACCGTATACAGGGTCGCTATGAGTACGAACCAACTAGACATCACTTAATTAACAACATCAGAAAAACATGATCGACTAAGATTAAAGGAAGAACAAATATCAAACTTATGGTGAACCTTGGATGCAAGAATGGTGGAATCATTGATACCTTACAAAAAGGTATGGGGACCATGCCCAAAGAAATCAGTAGTTTACAAATGGATAATTTGTTTTCAGAAGGGACAACACAGACTTGAAGATGAAATCCACAAGAACATAACATCCAAATCAATTTGAAAGTTAACTATCTTACCCCAGCCCTAACTGAAGAGGTCCAATAATTTAAAAGCAGGAGCAACAGACGACACCAGAGTTATCTCAATTGGCTCAGTTTTCATAATTCTGAGCAAAAAATAAAAGTTGAGCAAACTTACTGCTTGGTAGGTGCTCTGATAGTTAAGGTTTAGTGTCAACCTGCCTAGGCCAGGATTCTCAGTGGTTTGGCAGTTGAGATGTCGTTATCCCCATGATTAGATCTAATCTAAACTCTATGATAAGATGTGCTATGAACAGCCAATCAGTTGACAGGATACTTCCTCGGGGTAATGGCCTGCTTTCAAAATATTAGATACTCAGGCAAAGCTTGCTTGTTCTCCATTGGGTCTGGATCTTGCATCTGGCTCAACCTCTGCCCTCTGGCTCTTTGGACATGAGCCAGTAACCTGCTCCATTACCTGCCAATGGAATCCTTCTCCATTATGACCATGTTCTTGCTTATTTCTCCAAAAAGGCAGGTTTTCAAGTGTTTCTATGGGAAATCATTAAACCTTGTAGTTCTGATTTAACTTTCTAATGGCTGATGTTTCCGAATCTTAAAAAATCTTACAAAGGCATCCATTTGTCTTCCGCCATCCATATAAAAGAGACTGCATTGACATGTTGAAATTCCCAGGACCCTCAGTTCTTTAGGGCTGGACTAGATGGCCAGAACATAACTTACAAAGAGGATCTTGAACTTGATGGCGCTTATGCTGAGAAATAAACTTTATATTTATTTTTATCTTTTAGTTTCATTTCTCTATAAACTTTTTGAAGTCCCCTTATTTATTTATTTTTACATAACAAGTTACCGAGACATATTGGATCGTTCATTTGTCGTCTTGTGGAATTTTGTTGTTAGGTTGTTAGCAAGGCTGTTAAGGTGCCATTGAATTGGTGACAACTCATAGTGACTTTATGCATAGCAGAACAAAACACTGCTCGATCCTGGGCCAACCTCACTATTGTTGCCATGCTTGAGCCCATTGATGCTGCCACTTGGCCAATCCATCTCATTGGGGGTCTTCCTCCTTTTCTCTGACCGTCCACCTTATTGTTGTTAGGTGCCATCAAGTCGGAACGGACTTATAGCGACCTTATGCACAGAACGAAACAATGTCCAATCCTGGACCAACCTCACTACTTGTTGCCACACTTGAGTCCATCCATGCTGCTATTGGCCAATCCATCTCATTGGGGGTCTTCCTCTTTTTCTCTGACCCTCCATCTTACCAAGCATGATATCC